CTCCAGTACTTTGGCCATCTCATGAGAAGAAAAGACTCCCTGGAAAAGACCCTGATGTTGGGAAAGTGTGATGGCAAGAGGAGAAGGGGACGACTGAGGATGAGATGGCTGGACAGTGTCTGCGAAGCAACCAACATGAATTTGACACAACTCCGGGAGGCAGTAGAAGATAGGAGGGCCTGGCGTGCTCTGGTCCATGGGGTCACGAAGTGTCGGACACGACTTAACGACTAAACGAAACGAAATATAATTATCTTACCAAAGCATCCCCCATCCGACAGCACATCTTACGTAGAGTAAGCTACACTTGAATTTCAACCCATCAATTACTCCCTGCCACCCACCCATTGTTAATGATAAAAGATTACTTTTAGAGTTTTGTAACCATTTCCGGAATGCACCCTTTTAAAACTGTAACTTTCTAAATTCATGGTGTGTGGGGGTTTTTTTAAAAAAATTTTTAACCACTGTAAAAGGAATGTGTAAATTACAGCAGAATGCATCGCTTTTTAGCCCTGCAATCACAGGGGTAATGTTTTCATATGATAGCCACTCATCTCAGACAAGGAGAGCAACAACAACAACAAAAATATGCCATGCCATCAGAGATCCACCAGAGACACCGTGATAGGCAGAGGTCAGGCTGTGGCATATGAGAGTCGTGACCCAGACCGCCTGTCAGTCTCTCCACCCTGAGAGCAGAGGCAGTTTGGGCAGGAAGCCGTTCTCAGACCTCTTTGCATTTCAAAGTTCTCTTGGGCACACTTAAAGGTATGCTCCTTCATTTTAAAAGAAAACCGCCTGACCTCCTTGCTCCCCAGTGTGCATCTCTGTTTAGAAGAGGTACTTCGCTTGTTAAATAGCTTCCTATTCAGCAATGCTGTGAAATTCATTCATCACCATAAGCGCATAATCAAACCCACGGACTGCATGTTAACCAGCCCTGTTTAAGACGGTCTGGGGCCAGTGGCCTAAGGACATCAGAGCTTGGACAAGTTACTTTTTAGACTACAATCTCTGGAATGCTTCAGCCCTGGGACGTTTCTCAATCCTGATGCAGACAGAGAACCTATAAGTGCCGTGAAATAACTTGAAGGGGGGGGTGGCGATGTGCGTGCGTGCATGCATGCATGTTGACTCAGTCTACTACATGCATACACCCACAATCAGCATATATCCAAGGAGCAGCTTAAGTGGAAGCCTTCATCCTTATGTAGAATGCAAAGCAGTTCTGCAGAGCGCGTCTGGATCATGTGCAGAGCAGGGCCTTCTCGGTGGCTGTTCCTCAGCTGTGGAATTTCCTGCTGAAGGAAGCTAAGCTGACCCCTC